TACATCCACACGTTGTTTAAAGGGATGCCCGCGTAGATTGGCTGCATTTAACATCGCAGAGAAGCGCTGACAAGTAAAACAGCAGTCCAGGTCTCGGACAGCGTGGAACGTCCATATAATGTCCCCTTTTACTTGCCTATACGTTAGAGGAAGGGCATTCTGGGTTGCAGTCGCTTCTCACATTAAGGAGAACCTATTCTTCAAACCAGCTTAGTGACACAGCGTTGGACCTTTTTCGAGAGCAGTGTTTTATTTCAAAACCTATAGTTTCCAATGACTGAAAAGTGTAGGCTAGATATTTCCACAAAAACATTTTGGCAGAGCTTATGCAGCCGGACGAAGTCTTGAGCGGCTGCACTTAGGCTTATACTTGCATGAGGACACCGCTTGCGGCAACTGCTTGCAGAACTTCCGCGAGCGTTTTATTCCAGTAAAAGCTCCTCCAACCTCATTTGTCTTCCTGACTTTGTTCGACCACTGGGAACCTTTGCATTTGCTCCTCATCTCCACTAGTTCAACATCGCTCTCCAAGTCCGGTAGACTGGATGCAGAGTGAAATTACGCCGAAAGTTCTAATAATTTTGTCCGTTTTTACAGTTTTGTCCTGGATGGCGTCCAGGCATTGAGTGACAAGGTTAATATCAACCTTTGGACCCTCATGAAAAAACCTAAAATTTCGATTCATTAGGACGACTAGATTGAAAGTGATACCCTTTCTTCAAGTATAAAATTTTAAGAAGACTTAATTTTCTACAAAACGAGTACGAGAAAGAATATTTAGGTGCTTTTTTGCTATAACATATATTTGAATTTATTGGGGCAGTTAAACTCAATGAGAAAAAGGCATACTACTTACATTGCCACCTTTTACAGTGTTTGGAGGTAGTCTAAAAGAAGCTCCTTCAAAAGCCGACATCCTGAAGTGACTGAAATATATTGCGATTAAGTCCCATGCTAGTTAATATTACAACACTTCTTAATTAATATGTTCGAATCGAAAGCACATTTCAGAATTTCGGTTGACATTTCATGAGTTAGGCAATTTACTGTAAGTGAGAGAAATTCCCCCTTACATGGTATCTTATTTGTCCGCTTATTAAGTATACAATATTGTCTATATTCATATAGATATATATTTTATGAGGACTATAGCGTCTTCGTAAAAGAACAGAGAAATTCATGATTTTCCTTACAGGGAAAGTATACGGCGCGTAGGCCAAAGTGCAAATGTAGGTCAGGTTCAAAATTATTCGAAGAATGAACAGTTTTCTTTAAAAACTCAAACTAACCTCTTATTTGAAGACATAATTCGTCACTAAATAATTACAAGAAATAGCCGTATTTTCTATTATATATACTTGCATGTATGATAACATCGAAAATCGATGGGAAAATGCATACTGGCTAAGTAGTCACTTATTTTAAGTTGTGGTTTTCGCAGGCAGCTGAAAACACATGCAACCAAACGCCAGCGTCCTACCCTGACTGACATAAATTGGGATTATATTTCACGGTGATTAGTAATGTAACTTCATCTCAGTAGCCAGCTGTAATCAAAAACGCCTGAAAGAAGTTCGGTTGGCATCTCGTGAGAGGCCAGAAACTGTGGGCTACGGCTTAATACGCGAGTCTACAGCCGTCAAAAGGAAAAGAAACGATGGCATTATGACGAGCACTCCCGCTAATTTGTCGTGAATAGGAGACCCGTGGAGAAAGCTGATGATAGAGCTGAACGTACAGCAAGCACTTTCTGCTATAGCATTAGTACCATAGACTTGTGGACGAACTCTGAGCTATGAATATAACCAAGAGGGTTAACAGGTTTCCAGCGTCTTCATAGCCATGGTATGGCATCTTGATGGCAGAGCGACTGTGAGGCAAGTGTAAGCATTTGCGGTACTATGATTTGGTGGTGGCGCGAATGCACGAGACAGCAGTCGGCTCGATAATATCTCATGGGAGAAAAACGCAGCTAGAGGGGGGTGACTGAAATGTGTGCAAATTTCCGACCGACGCAAATTCACTTCCAATAACCTTTCCCATTTCTCAGCAACGCGATCTGGGCGAAGCGAACAATTGTACGCGAATCCTTTCAGTCACTATCTAACCTACATGCAACCAAGCTATTAGTTGCCGTCCATGGAAAAGAAAGACGAAATTCTGTCAAGATTACGTCAAGGAGTGCAGTCCGGCTGAGCTCGAATTACCTGGCCAATAAGCTCATTAGTATTAAACGGTGGCCGAATCATTATTGAATTTTTTAAAACGGCAAACCCGAACTTGTCGTATAAGACGTAAGTTTCCCTCGTTGGGCAAATGAGTGGTATCCACTACAAACACATCTTTGAACTCTTCCATATACACAGAGGAGAAAAACGAGGCATGTGTCTCGGTACTCTAAACTGCAGTACGCTCCTTCCGACGCATTGTTAAATATTCATCGCGGAGTTAGCTTGTCAAGGGGCCGATTTTGCCGAAGAGGACCAGAGCCATGGCGACGAGTCTTATTATTGCGTTTCCCATCAACCGATTAGATGTCCATGGCAGTCTGCTCCCGCGATCACTAGCGCGGCTGCTTACTCAAGCCGCCTTTCTTTCCGTCTCACACTCCTTGTCCATTCGCTGATGGAACTGCACCGGACCGTGAACTGAAGTGGCAAGAGCTGGAGGCAAATCGACGCTGTATCCTTCGTTGATTGGCTGCACAAACCCCAACAGTGGGCACTGACCGGAAGATGCAACGATGGCCTTTACGCTCTCCGCTTCAGTAAAAGCCTGTACACCTAACCGACTTCCTTGACTTATGATTAAAGAAGGTTTGACCTTGGCCGATGAACGCTCACCGATCGGTTACGGGAAGCACCTGTCCGGTCCTGCCTTGGGACGGACTTTCGAGTCCCACCAGCGGCGCATAGCCTCGAATATTAACATAGTATACTAATATTATACTAATACCGACAAAGACAAAGGAATTTTCACCTGCTAACGTTTGACTTGGCGACTACCACCTCTAAATAACCATACCCTAGTCAAAGCAAAAAGTGTTCGCGATCCTGGTTAGGGGCATTTACCTCTTTAACTGACGAAAACGCGATATTCGTAAAGTTGGACAGTGGCGGACCAAGATTTCTGTGTGATACTAAAATGATCGATAGAAAATGAAAGTTTTTTGCATTTAACACGTCCCTGCATTTCATTAAACTTGCTGTACAACTGGAAGTGGAGACTCAAAAACTGGCTTCGAGTAACAGTGTCCTTACCAATGGAGTCCTAATCTGCCACACTTAGCTGTCGAACCAGCGGCAGTGTGGGCAGTTACGCAATTCCAAGAAGAGGTAGGTGGAAAGGAATGTAGTAGTACAGTAGAAAGAAAAAAACAGAGAAAAAATGGAAAATGTGAAAAAATT